CAATAAACCTAAATATAATTATTCTCTAAAATAATTAGGGAAGCCAATAATTGACCCCATTAAAATTTACATAGGATTTCCTATATCCCGTCCGACGATGGTATTCCATATACCCGGTATGGTATTCCATATACAGATTTTATTCCAAAAAAAATCTTTATGGGTATTTCGCCACTGCACTGCAAGAAAATCTACAAAATAAAATAGTTATTTTTTGTAAATCTTCTGCGTTAAACCGAAACGGACACTGCTTGTCAGAAGTTATGTTTACAGTTATACAAATTTGCCAACAAAAACAAAGAAAAAATGCTTAACGTTTCGGAAAGTTTATCTCTTTCCGTCGTCGGAAGCAAAAAAAATACAAATAATAAAGAAAAAACTGTTTAAAATATTTAAATTCAACTATTCGAGAACACTTTACTTTTTTAAAACAGATACGTCTGCAAGAAACCGTTGACGTTCTGTTAAAATGACATTATATCAAGTTAAACTTCAAAATTGACAATTACCACCTGACAAGCAGTGTCCGTTTAGGTTTAACGCAGAAGTGTTTACAAAAAATAACTGTTTTATTTTGTAGATTTTGTTTCTTACAGTGCTGTGGCGAAATACCCATAAAGGATTTTTTTGGAGAGATGAATCCGCCACAATAGGTATAGACATTTTTTACAATATACAGGGTGTAAAGTAAGTAAAAATAAGTAAAAAATGCTTCTTTTCGGTTATACAGGGTCTCGAAGTTTCATTTTTTATTTCGGTTTTTTCCAAATAATTTCTGAACTATAGTAATCAATATTTAGATGAAAATTGGTGTCCGGGTATTTTTTGACACGAGAAATTCGATTTCAAATTCACCCTATATAAGAACAATACTAAAACACTAAAATTATGATACTTAACACTACTTACATTGCTTTTTTGCCCGCCCTGACAGCCGTGAAATCAATTATATGTGCTGGTATGATCTCTAACAGGAAATGCAGTGTCCGAAATATGTACTTGTTATTGGTAAACCTGAAAAAGTATTTCCACAAGAGTTTTTCCGAGCCTACTTTCCATCCTTGGTAAGTACACAGTACCAGATGTTTCCATAATAGAGCATTTGTGTCGGATGTAGTATAATTGAACACTGGTATGTCAGACAAGGACCTAAAAAAATAGAAATACTATTATTTACAGAACACTTCAGCTATTAAGTACTTATATATTCTAAATCTACATAAAATTTCCTACAAATACGGAAATTTTCATAATTTTACCACCATGTTTACTATTTTTCTAAGAGCCTTGAAAACTTAGCTAAAAATTATAAATTTTTCGACTTTTTTCCATTACATAAAATTTGTCGATTTTGGTCAGGTCACTGATTTTGATAAAACTACTGTTATTTACTAATTAAAAGGCGTAGAATACGAAAATATATGCTATTTTGACCTTACGAGTTCTGTATGACTTGTAGGTAATATTTTTAGCTACCATGAAAAACCGTTCGAAAACAAATGTTCGAACAATCCAGTCTAAATCTACGTAAAATTTCCTACAAACACTGAAATTTTTATAATTTTACACCTTTGTTTAGTATCTTTCTAAGAGCCTTGAAAACTTACAAAAAAAAATAAAAAAATGTTACCTGTCCTGGGCTGTTTTATATGATGAAGCTATACAACTGTTGATAACGTAATCTACTGGGACTAAATCTGCCCTGCCTTCTGGATTACCGATCATTATATGTAGTAATCCGATTACAGCACCTTGGATCAGACCTACTGGGCCATATATATTATCTATCCACGATCTTATAGGTTCCTTGACTGAAGCAATCACTACAAAATCATTAAAAAAAGACGTAAGTCAAAACGCCAGTCAATATCAAAGACTGCTTTACATATATACATTGTCAAAAGTTTTTATAAGAATATATTACTCTGGAAAAAATATCCTATATTTGAAAAACTGTAACTAAAGGAAACCATGCACATCAAGGCAAAACTGCGCAGTCCAAACTTTAAGAAACAACTGAACTTATATGGCTACTTTTATAAATTTTTGTTATTCAACATTTTGTAATTATTTCGTACATTTTAATATGTCACATAAAAATAATGGAATTTAATTTTTTAATGTATAAATTACCTATAGATGGCCGATATACACAGGCAGGTATGCCTAAAGCCTCTTCTCCGACTACGTGCTCAGCAATTTGTTTGGTGAAAGCATAGGTGTTAGGTAAAGGTCCCAAAAGACTAAAGAAATAAAAATAAAATTGATTAATATCGAAGAATAATTATTATTAATTTAATTTTTAATAGCATAGTCCATGTTTATACTGTTATCGTCATTCAGTATTCCAGTTTTGTTGAATCAAAAAATAGGAAACTAATGTTACTATAAATAAGTGTTACGTTTTTTTAAGAAAGTAATTTTAACTGTTAGTTTAGTGTAGTATTAGAAAAAGTTATAAAAGATGCGGGAATCAACAGAGAGGGCCTTCTGTATACAAAAAGACACCAATGCTTAGCAGATGATTTAGTTATCTTTGCAAGAGATCGGAAAGAGCTGATGTCGGTGACCAAAAGACTAAAAAATCAAGTGCTAAAAGTAGGCTTGGGCGCGGTCTCTTCAGTTATAAATAAATAACTTTTATCTAACAAATAACCATCTAAAAGATAAACAATCTAGAGCACAAATATGGATATAACTTTTTGAATTTTTCATACAAAATAATCCAATAGATAACAATTTGGAGGACGGGCCTACGGACCGGTAGACCCTCCGTAGAGAAAGTGTTGCCAAAATAAGATATACAGAAGTGAGATGGTTATAGAAAAAGAGCAATACGTAACT